AGCGAGCATTGTTGGCGTCATATAAGGTGGCAGTGTTACACACGGGGGGGGGGGGGGGGGGGCACGAGATGTTTTATTCGTCCTAGGGGGGGCATGACAGAAAATAATTGAGAAGCACTGGACTAGACTGACCTGAGGAGCTCTGAGTCTGACTAGACTGACCTGAGAAGCTCTGAGTTTGACTAGACTGACCGGAGGAGCTCTGAGTTCGACTAGACTGACCTGAGGAGCTCTGAGTTTGCAGAACAGGAGATAAAAAATTGGGTGAATTTTTACAGACATGGACGATGTGCACAGGAACAGACGACGTTTGTTGACTAAGATTAACATCAGTTTGGTCAAATTGTTGTAATATTTGTTTGTTTTTTGTCTTGCAGCAGACGCGTCATCATGTCTGCACTCCAGGGGGCGATGGCAGCACTGATTGGGGTGTTTCATGAACACGCCGGGGGGAATAGAACTCTCGATAAAAAAGAGCTGGCTGCACTTTTAAAGAAAGAGTTTGGGGGCTTGGTGAGTAGCCTGTGGGATGTCTGTTATGTTTGGGCACCTTTTCCCTTCAGACAGATCAGTGCCTTCAGTTAGCTTCATAATCAATCGACTGAAGATATTTATTTACTTATTTTAAAACGAGACAAAGCACATAAACTCCTCCCACAAACAGCAGTCTTTTGTGATGTCACGTAGCACTGAAAATGGCCCCTGCAGGCTCACCCTGCACAGCAACATGGATTCACACGATATTTGTGAGTCACAAACTCACAAGACTTTGGCCCTCGCTGGTGCGACAGGGCCCGGCAGGTGCAGGGCGACCAATCACAGAGCAGCATTGAGATGTGGGCGGAGCCAAAGGCCAAGCCCTCAAACGAACCAAAACAAACATGGTGACGCCAACAGACGTACCTCAGCCTATTTTCATGTCAATTCAACACTTCGACCTGTCACATATAATCATGACATTTCACGTTTCCCAGGCTGATGAAGTGTAGAACTAAATTCAGAGTGAAATGAAACGAGATAATGTTATTAAAACACCATATAGAGACCTTGCATATGACGTCACGGCCTTGCCCTTGCCCACCGCCCTTGTAACGTTAGGACATTTTTGAGTTATTCCTTTAATTTTCACATTAAGACACACGCCGGAAAAGTGTTTAAATCCATGTTATTTGGACAATCCTGAAACCTAAGCCTTCTCTTCTCTTCTTGTTTTCAGGCCTCTAATAACCCAGAAGCAGTGGATCAGATTTTCACTGGTCTGGACCAGGACGGCAGCGGATCTGTGGACTTCACAGAGTTCGTGACCATGGTGGCCGCTCTCACCGCAGCTACCAATGAGATGTTATGTGAAAAATGAACCTGAATCATAATGGAAATCAACAACATATTAAACATTTAACACGTAACACAAGATGTTATGTAAAAAATAAACCTGAATCATAATGGAAATCAACAACATATTAAACACATTTAACATTGGGGAGTTGTTTCTGTTGTTTTAAATGACTTTGGAATGAAAATGAGTCAGTATTTGTATGTTTCAAACCAGAGAGGGTTGTCAAAGTCTCGATAATAAAAAAGTCACGTTCACAGGACAGAAATGAAGCTTTTCTGAAGCTTTAGAATGATCTTGAGCTGTTTCAGAACAAGTATAAGAGCACATAGACTATTTTACGCTTACAGAAGCTACCTGGACTGCTGAGGGATTACACAGATATAAAACCACATGGGAATAGAAAACAAAGTTGAGGTAGAGTTGAAGTGTAAAAGGACGATAGACTGCACCAAAAATAAAAGTGAAATCTATAAAAACATATTAGTACATTGTTTTCAGCTAAGACAGCATTTTCAAAAAAAAAAAAAAAACCCTTCTTTAACATCTAAATAAAGTTATTAGTTAAATAAATATAAAAATTGTAATGATTTTTAAACAAGCGACAAAAATTTGCACACCACAGACACGAGGAGATTCATATGAGATATTAAATCTCCGATCACAAACACTGCAGTGGGATACATCTGCGGAGCACAGTCGCGTCAGCTGTGTCCTGTCTTCAGTAAAATAAAAACTCGCTTTGAGACTCTTAATTGTTCAAAGGATCAGAGCTCTGCACTTCGAGTTCAGATACAAGACAAAACTGTTATTATTATTTGTGAAATGTGGTGCAAAACTTCAGATACGTGATTTTAAATTCACAGAAGGTTGGCGATAAAGTCGAGTCCAGACCTGCAAACTTGTCGCTTTTTGGATACAGTCGCCTTTTTCTTGATCAATTGGGTCATTCAAGTGAATCACATAGAACCTGCTCTAGTTTGGAATTAAAATATTGTCCTTCGAGTTTACATGGAAATAATAATTCTGAATTGAGGTTTACGTGGAAAACACATTAAATCGGCTTTATTTAATTCCGCTGAGCGTCTGGGGGTGGGGAAGTGTTCTGATTGGACAAAGACACCAATGTATTTACGCCGACCAGAAGAAAACACACACTTCAGCTGCTACAGGCTTTTTGTCATCTCGGTTTGTTGTTATGCATGAGGATACACCCATACAAACTGGGGAACAGTGGTCCAAACCCAGACTCCTGAACCAGTGGGAGCAGCTCCGGTTCATGTCTGGCCCAGATGAGCTGGAACGGGGAGTGGTGTTTGGTGCCTCGGCCTGAGAAACGCTTTCCCCGGGAAGAACCAATTGCGTGAACGGACGCTCAGAACAACATATAATCAACCAAATGGGATTCGCGCTTCTGTCAGGATGTTTTGCATCACCTCGGAACCTGTCGCTGTCCTCGAGCACGGAGGACACAAGCGCATTCTCACTTTCGCCGCACAGATCCCGTGCACAGAGGACAGCACAGAACCGCTCTGACCCAGTCCATTTGGCACTGGAGTCCGGTCAAGTGGTAACGGAGGGAAATAGGGGCAGATTTTTTACATTCAAATGTCTCTTATTCAGAAACTAGAGGGACTATTGAAATAAGTAAAGTATCAGAATGTAGGAAAGAGTTAACACTCCAACAGGGTAAAGTTAAACCTGTGATATTCTTTCAAGTTGTTGACAAAAAATTTAAAAAACTCATGTCGGTAACGGAGGGAATGAAATATGCAGCACTTTTTGGGCAATAAATCCAAACAGTGATAACTCTTGGTTCTCACTTACATATCCTTAACAAACTGGTTTGAATATTTGCTTCATATAGTTTTCTACCATATGGTACAAGATTAGGTTGAAAAACCTCTTATTTTTTGACTAATGAGATTTTTTATTAAGAAAGGTCATGGTAACGGAGGGAAAAGTAACGGAGGGAAAATTGTACAAACAAGTAGAAGGTGCATGATTTTACATCATTCGTCACCTTTTTTCTTCCGAATACTTTAATATTACTTCAAAATGAAAGGAAACTATTTCTATAAAATATGTCAGTCCTTCCAAGCAAATTTTTATCATTTTAAATACTTTTTTTTTTTTAAATCATGTCCCTTCATCAACAGTTCAAAGATGGAATAACACAAGATATGATGAAATACATCCATTTATTTACATGATTTGCAGGTCTTTGAAATTTGGGAAATAATTTTTGCTCCATGTTTCATACATGGTCTGTTTAAAACGTATGGAACTTTAGAACCAAAAATGGCACAGAAAAAAGGTCAACAGTTTCATAAACTAGAGTACATATGTATCTGTTGAATACATTTTTATATCAGATGCATTAACTTGAATTTTTGGCCTTCCTGTTTACTTTCTGCTTGACCAGGCCCACTGGTCTTGTTCGCCCCCGTCTTATTTTTTAAGAGGAATAAATGATATTAACATGATCACGGAATAAATTAATTCGGCTTTAAAATCGGAATAAACCACCCACTTAATTCGGATTTAAGTTTAATTCCGAATAATCATTAGAAGTGAGTGTTTACATGGTCTTTTTAAAGGAGAATTATTTTTTATTCCGAATTAAATTATTTTAAATCAGTTCTCTGTTTGAAGTTGGCGTTGTGTAGAATTAAGTAAGACAAAATAAATGCTCTGTTTGCTTGAGATGGGTTGAATATTTGAACAGAATTGTGTGAAAACTGGTCCGACAGGTTTTCAATGGGAGATGTACAAGGATATGGAATTAATGATGATCCTGAATCTCATTTTTTATTCAATTCCACTTTATTAAAACACTATTGGAACTGAAATTTTGGTAGTTTTCAGATTCTATAATATAATAATGTCGTACTCCCTGATGGAGAAGGGGGAAGAGACAGACTTCCTTATTAATAACATTGTACTTTGTCATAAAATATATATATATAAAAAAAAAATGTGTGTGTGTGTGTGTGTGTGTGGTATATATATATATATATATATATATATATATATATATATATATATATATATATATATACACACACAGATATATTTACAAATCTTTAATGTAATCTTTTCGATCGGTGACTAAACCCATTAGCTTGCAATGTTACAACACAAACATTTAGTAGGAGTGTAACGGTTCATATATTATATATATTTCAAACTTTTGTTGTTTATTTGAAAATATTTTGTTTAAATTATTAGTATTACCAAGCAGCAGCACTTTGCATTTATTTTATGTTCTCATTTGTATAATGTTAAAATTAATAGTTATTTTAATAAACACAAATAAATCTCAAAACCGAGATACGTACCAAGCCGTAATGTTTGTGAATTGTTACACCCGTAATATTTATATAGAATTGTTTTTTTTAAAGGTGCACTGTGTAACTTTTCTGATTTGACTAGAATGTTCCACAGTATGGCATTAAACTTATATATTAAATCCCTGATCATTATAATGTAGGTTCGGAATATCACAGTTATTTTTTTCCACGAATGTCTTGCAGGTAAAACATCTCAGAAAACAACTGTTGTAATTTAACCTGATGAACCAGAACCACGGTTACGTAACATCGTTTGTGGGCAAACAAACGAGGCGGGTCGGGCGTGCCAGGCTATTTAAGAAATATGACACGATTCACTCTGCACACATCCTCAACCTCTGCACAACCGAAAACTCTCCAAACCAAGTGAGTGTTTTATCTGAGATTTTCTGCCAAATTTTATAGATTTTTCTTCTGTTTATTAACTTTTTTTGTAGAAGATTCATATTTCATTGTATTTAGTTTAGTCACGGGCTATTACTTTCTACATTTATACACACAATTAAATTATAATTATTTTACTAAAATTGCTATAGTTTCTATTTTAAAATCCTCAAAAGTGCCACACTTTACTTTGTTTGTATAGTTGTAGGGAGTATTATCTGTTACATAAGGAGTTGACCTGAGGAGCTCTGAGTTTGCAGAACAGGAGATAAAAAATTGGGTGAATTTTTACAGACATGGACGATGTGCACAGGAACAGACGACGTTTGTTGACTAAGATTAACATCAGTTTGGTAAAATTGTTGTAATATTTGTTTGTTTTTTGTCTTACAGCAGACGCGTCATCATGTCTGCACTCCAGGGGGCGATGGCAGCACTGATTGGGGTGTTTCATGAACACGCCGGGGGGAATAGAACTCTCGATAAAAAAGAGCTGGCTGCACTTTTAAAGAAAGAGTTTGAGGGCTTGGTGAGTAGCCTGTGGGATGTCTGTTATGTTTGGGCACCTTTTCCCTTCAGACAGATCAGTGCCTTCAGTTAGCTTCATAATCAATCGACTGAAGATATTTATTTACTTATTTTAAAACGAGACAAAGCACATAAACTCCTCCCACAAACAGCAGTCTTTTGTGATGTCACGTAGCACTGAAAATGGCCCCTGCAGGCTCACCCTGCACAGCAACATGGATTCACATGATATTTGTGAGTCACAAACTCACAAGACTTTGGCCCTCGCTGGTGCGACAGGGCCCGGCAGGTGCAGGGCGACCAATCACAGAGCAGCATTGAGATGTGGGCGGAGCCAAAGGTCAAGCCCTCAAACGAACCAAAACATACATGGTGACGCCAACAGTCATACCTCAGCCTATTTTCATGTCAATTCAACACTTCGACCTGTCACATATAATCATGACATTTCACTTTTCCCAGGCTGATGAAGTGTAGAACTAAATTCAGAGTGAAATGAAACGAGATAATGTTATTAAAACACCATATAGAGACCTTGCATATGACGTCACGGCCTTGCCCTGATGCCCTGACCGCCCTTGTAACGTTAGGACATTTTTGAGTTATTCCTTTAATTTTCACATTAAGACACACGCCGGAAAAGTGTTTAAATCCATGTTATTTGGACAATCCTGAAACCTAAGCCTTCTCTTCTCTTCTTGTTTTCAGGCCTCTAATAACCCAGAAGCAGTGGATCAAATTTTCACTGGTCTGGACATGGACGGCAGCGGATCTGTGGACTTCACAGAGTTCGTGACCATGGTGGCCGCTCTCACCGCAGCTACCAATGAGATGTTATGTGAAAAACCAACCTGAATCATAATGGAAATCAACAACATATTAAACATTTAACACGTAACACAAGATGTTATGTAAAAAATAAACCTGAATCATAATGGAAATCAACAACATATTAAACACATTTAACATTGGGGAGTTGTTTCTGTTGTTTTAAATGATTTTGGAATGAAAATGAGTCAGTATTTGTATGTTTCAAACCAGAGAGGGTTGTCAAAGTCTCGATAATAAAAAAGTCACGTTCACAGGACAGAAATGAAGCTTTTCTGAAGCTTTAGAATGATCTTGAGCTGTTTCAGAACAAGTATAAGAGCACATAGACTATTTTACGCTTACAGAAGCTACCTGGACTGCTGAGGGATCACACAGATATAAAACCACATGGGAATAGAAAACAAAGTTGAGGTAGAGTTGAAGTGTAAAAGGACGATAGACTGCACCAAAAATAAAAGTGAAATCTAAAAAACATATTAGTACATTGTTTTCAGCTAAGACAGCATTTTCAAAAAAAAAAAAAAAAACCTTTTTTAACATCTAAATAAAGTTATTAGTTAAATAAATATAAAAATTGTAATGATTTTTAAACAAGCGACAAAATTTGCACACCACAGACACGAGGAGATTCATATGAGATATTAAATCTCCGATCACAAACACTGCAGTGGGATACATCTGCGGAGCACAGTCGCGTCAGCTGTGTCCTGTCTTCAGTAAAATAAAAACTCGCTTTGAGACTCTTAATTGTTCAAAGGATCAGAGTCTGCACTTCGAGTTCAGATACAAGACAAAACTGTTATTATTATTTGTGAAATGTGGTGCAAAACTTCAGATACGTGATTTTAAATTCACAGAAGGTTGGCGATAAAAGTCGAGTCCAGACCTGCAAACTTGTCGCTTTTTGGATACAGTCGCCTTTTTCTTGATCAATTGGGTCATTCAAGTGAATCACATAGAACCTGTTCTAGTTTGGAATTAAAATATTGTCCTTCGAGTTTTACATGGAAATAATAATTCTGAATTGAGGTTTACGTGGAAAACACATTAAATCGGCTTTATTTAATTCCGCTGAGCGTCTGGGGGTGGGGAAGTGTTCTGATTGGACAAAGACACCAATGTATTTACGCCGACCAGAAGAAAACACACACTTCAGCTGCTACAGGCTTTTTTGTCATCTTCGGTTTGTTGTTATGCATGAGGATACACCCATAAAACTGGGGAACAGTGGTCCAAACCCAGACTCCTGAACCAGTGGGAGCAGCTCCGGTTCATGTCTGGCCCAGATGAGCTGGAACGGGGAGTGGTGTTTGGTGCCTCGGCCTGAGAAACGCTTTCCCCGGGAAGAACCAATTGCGTGAACGGACGCTCAGAACAACATATAATCAACCAAATGGGATTCGCGCTTCTGTCAGGATGTTTTTGCATCACCTCGGAACCTGTCGCGCTGTCCTCGAGCACGGAGGACACAAGCGCATTCTCACTTTCGCCGCACAGATCCCGTGCACAGAGGACAGCACAGAACCGCTCTGACCCAGTCCATTTGGCACTGGAGTCCGGTCAAGTGGTAACGGAGGGAAATAGGGGCAGATTTTTTACATTCAAATGTCTCTTATTCAGAAACTAGAGGGACTATTGAAATAAGTAAAGTATCAGAATGTAGGAAAGAGTTACACTCCAACAGGGTAAAAGTTAAACCTTGATATTCTTTCAAGTTGTTGACAAAAAATT